AGCTTGCAGGACTGGCCTAGGGTAATTTTTAGAGGGGTTTTAATTACATTTTAATTGGACAAAGTTTAATATTTCTTTTAATTAATTTTAAATTTGTATTGTTATTTATGTATTTTAACTGATTGTCAGCCGCCCTGAGTCCGCGAGGAGAAGGGCGGGATATAAATCCAAATATAAATAAATAAATAAATAAATAAATAAAACCTGGGGGAAATTTTATCAGTGGGTTGAAACACGTTAGAATAAGAAGAGATTTTAGAGTTTTATTATATTAAGTATTAAGGTTGATGATTGGAAATAGTTGTTATACTATTAACTATGTTAATTATTTAAAGGAATATTACTGTTTTATCAAATGTTCGTTGTAACTATACCGATTTATTTTTATAAATGTCTAGTATTATATAAACAATAATACTCAATATGAAGACCCGGACGACAGCTTGTTCGCTGAATTACGTATTTACTGTAGTTACCCACACCCTGTCCCCTTTATCCCGATTTTCCTGTACCCGCACCGACCCTCTCTTTTCCCTACCCATATAAAATCTAATAAAATATATTTTTTAAAAAAAGACATTGGGCTTGACAGCTGGAAAGGTGACAGCCCAAGTTTGAGACCTAGCGCCGTGCAATGGAGTGAGCTCCCATTCCTTGCTCCAGCTCCAGGCCACTTAGCAGTTTGAAAGCAGGCAAATGTGAGTAGGTAAAAAGGTACCACTTCAGTGGGAAGAGGACAACATTCCGTGCGCCTTTGGCCTATAGACATGCTGGCCACATGACCACCAAAAAATTGTCTTTGGGCAACGCTGGCTCCCTCAGCTAAGAAACAGAGATGAACACCAACCCCTTAAGAGTCGGACAGGACTGGACAGGGGAAACCTATACAACTACCTTTTATTGCCATGTTGCCAAAAAGGGCACTGGACTTTCCAGAAAACAAGGATCTCTTGGGAAAATCTTAACAAAACTGTATTGGGGGAGCAAATAGATTCCAATTCGGGCATCCATTCTGAACCTGTGAACATTGAAAATCCACCGAGAAGCGGTTTTGTTTTGTTTTTTTTAAGACTGTCAGAAGAGCTGTGTTGTTGCTTTGTTGTTGTTTTGTTGTTGCTAGGATAAGCGCGTCATATAATCATACGGCTGGAAGGGACCTTGGAGGTGAGGGACGTGAAAGAGTGTGCCAAACCTATTCAGTTTCACATTAATGCAGGGGTCTCCAAACTTGGCAACTTTTAAGACTTGCAAACTTTTAACCCCCACGGCTGGCTGGGGAATTCTGGGAGTTGAAGTCCGCAAGTC